ATGAGCCAGCGAATGCCTTTTCCATTCACGCCGGTCGATGTGGCTTTTCTGTAAACCTGGGTACTGATGCCCCATCTGAGCTGCAGCTCCTGCCTCTCCAGAGCGGGCATGATGCCTCCTCCCGGGCGGTGGGTGCAGGTCTCAGCAAAAGGACTGGCCCCTTGCAGCTGTCCCCATGGCCCCAGGAGCGACATACCCACCAGCTGCCTGGGGGAACAGTGGAGGGAGATGGTGCACGCTCTGCACACACAACCCCCATGCCCTGTACCCACACCCACGCCCTGTGCACACACATCCCCCAAGCTCTGTGCACATGCACACACCCCCACACCCTGTGCACCCCCACCCACGTGCATGTACACACACCTCAGGCCCTTTCCCCCCCGCCCCAAGCTCTGCACACACTGCTCCCACTGTGCACATACACTCTCCTCAGGCTCTGTGCACACACACCTCGTGCTCTGTGCAGCCCCCTCCACACTCTGTGCACACATACACTGCATGCTTGGTAACAATGGTACATGGCCCTGGAGGGCTGGCCGTGCAGCTTAGTCCCCCAGCTGCCCGCACACTCCCTGGGCCGTCCTGAAGTGCTCTTGGGCCCTTGGCTTCGTTTCATCTCAGTTCATCTTCCCAACCACCCACAGGGCAGGTCGTGTTGGCCTGGAGACCTTTAGGGGACTTGCCCAACGTCATGAGCTTCAAGAGGGGCAGAGCTGGACTTGAACCCAGGTCTTGACTCTGGCCAGGCTCTGGCCCTGTGCTCGCTGCAGCCTCAGGGAGGCCAGGAGCTGATGAGTGCGTCTTCTCAGCTGGGATGCAGGCTCGTCCCGGCCAGGCCCTGCTGGGTGTTGGGAACACAGTGAGGTCAGCCGGGATGTCACTGTCCTGCGAAGCCGTGGAGACAGACCAGAGGAAAAACTTGAGTTAAAATGTGTAAACATTAAATAATTAAGTTGTTTTAAGGAATCAAATAAAGACAACAGAGAAACTGTGAGGACCCCAGGAGGGTCCCAGGTGGGAAAACTTTTCCCACAGAGACATCTGTGAGGATTCAGGACCGTGCAGGCCTCTGGGCCTTGCAAGGAGAGGCTGCCTCTGTGGAGCTGGGGGAGCAGCTGCAGAGCCATCTGCCCTGGGCGTCCTCCCCACTGACCAGCTCAGCAGGGAAGGCCAGGAGAAGTGACATCCCTGTGGCTAGAGCTCAGGAGGCCAGACCTGACCCTGCTTTCGTCTTTCAGGTAAGTTTTCAAGCAGACAGTTTCTTCCTAAATAGGCGAAAGTCCCCGTGGTCATTTCCTAAAGCCACACGGGAGTAGGGCCAGGTGGCTGGAGGGTCAGCACCGCGGACAGCACCCTGCAGCCAACGTGAGCGGGGACAGCAGTGTGTGTGCAGGGGTGCATGTGAGTGTGTGCTTGTGTGCGCACCTGAGTGTGGGTGCATGGGGTGTGGCAGGTGGGAATTGGGGATGATCTGTGAGGGGTTGGTGGGCATTTGGGGGGTGTGAGGGGGCATGTAGGTTGGGAGGGAGGGCAGAGGGAGAAGCCGGCTGAGTCTGTCCTCAAGCTGTGCATGAGTGACCTCTGCCACCTGGCCACACCCCCTCCCTCGCCCCTTCAGTGGACATCCAGGGCCTTGTGCTCCTTGACTGTCAACCTTGAGGACTCCTCTTTGGTGAGGCCTAATGCTGTCCAGGTGACATAATGTTCATGAAGCCTCCAGGCCTGAAAGTACCCCCATTCTGGTACAACCCCTATGGGCCTGAGTCAGGACGAGCTTACTGCCACCCAGGCCTCTGGAGGTTGCTGGCCGGGCAGCAGGTGCAGGAGGGGTGTGGGGATGGTTTTCAGGCATTACAGGTTGGGCCCTCTCTGGGAGCCTCTGGGCCTGGGTCCTGATTATGGAGGAGGCTGGCAGGACCACTCACTCTGCCCCCAACCCATGGACCCAGGGACCAACTGAGGCCCCTTCCCTCTCCTACGAGGCTGCTTAAAACTGCAGACTGAGGGTCCAGAGAGACCACTGCTTGTGCCCGTGCACCGCCCCTGGGCCTGAGGTGCCACAGGGCTCTGGCAGGCACATTGGACCCTGGGTGCTGTGGGGGCCACATTCAGGTTAGCTGGCCAGTGCTCCTGCTCATGGGGAGGGGCCTGCTAAGGCAGGTGACGGAGCCTGGTCTCCGCGTGTGGGAACAGGGCCCACACTTGTGCCCTTCACGGCTGTTGTGGGGGCCCATGAGCAGTGGAATCAGTGCTCAGCACGTTCCTGGGGAACGGTAACAAGATCAAAATGGCCCGAAAGTCAGCCACTGTCGTCCTCTGTGGAGTAGGAGTCAGCGAGTCCTGCTCACCTCGCTGGGAGGTGCTGCATCAAGGCATCCGGCACGTGGTGGATTCGTGATAACTGAGCCCCTCCCCTCTTAACCATCCCTCCGCTCAGGGACATTTTCCACATCAGGGTCCTGCCTCTTTGACCGTTCCCCCCAGCCTGGCCTTGGGCTTTCGGGATGGGGCTGCTCCTGGGGACGTGTGGCTCGAGCAGCATCCTGTGGGCAGTTGGGGGAGGAATGTGTGCATGTGGGGAGAGAAGGGGCTTCCTCAGGGCACTCGGGCTGGGATAAGAAGGGAGAGGAGGAGCGATGCTGCCCAGCAGCGCCGAGGGTGCTCCCGGCTCTCGGTAAAATTAGGTGCAGAGTGGAAGTTTATTTCTCTCTTAAGTGAGAACAGCTCCAAGGTGGACATCCAGGACTGGGGTGATGGTGCCCCGTCATGGGTCCACCCATCTGCAGTGGCCACCGTCATTATCCTTGTGGGGGCAGTTTCTTGTGGCACTTTGACCTGAAATGGAGGAGTTTCTGGCTTGGTCCTGAGTCTCAGGTGCTCTCCCTGATCACACCCTCCTGGGACAGTGCGGCCACCCCCCAACACTGTCCACTCCCGACCGTGCCCCGATCACACTCAGCTCCTTCCCACCCAGCCTCGCCCTGAGCTCCACACCATCCTGCTGCCGTCCCACGGGTGTCCACTTGTGGATGTGCCCTGGGCACGGCCAGCAGTGTGGCCAGACCCAAGCTCAGGTCCTCCACGTGCCTGGGGCAGAGCTGGAACAGGACGTCTGTGAGCCCTGCCCACACTGGGTGCAGTCAGTCTGCCACCTGCCCTCACCTGGGCCCACCCCCATCTGCAGCCCAAGTCCCTGTAGCCATGGCTGGCCCTTATCCTCACGAGTGCCCCATCTTCCCTCTGCCCCCTCCCCTGTCCACCCTCCACGCCTTGACTCTCTCTCATCTGATCAAGCCATTCTCCTGAATCACGGGGACTTTCTCAGGGCTGCTGCCCTCACCCAGGGCCCAGGCAAGGCTGACTTTGACCTCTTGCCAGGGGAACGGGCTCAGACTCGTGACTGGGGGCTGCCCCTGTGGCTGTGGCACCACGGCCATGGCCACATAGCACATGAAAGTTGGATTTGTGTCACTGCATCCTGGCAGCCTCTCATGAGCATCTGGACGACTGCCCGTCCCCTAGCACGCCAGTTCCAGAGGCCCCCTGCCTGGTGGACCAGGCCTCCTTGGCTGGCAGAGTGAGCTGTCACACTTAGTGGAGCAGCAAAGGCCCTGGGGGCTCTAGCAGTGCACACCTGTGAACTGACAGCTTTGAATGCCCCTCCCAGGCCGGCTATGCCAATGCAGGGGAGGTATGGGGACCTCCGTTTAGTGAAATGACCCAAGAGAGGGCCCCTGTGCCTCCAGGAAAAGGGCCACCACACCTCCCAGAGGCCCTGAGCTGGCCTTTACAGTAATTTCTGCCCAGCCCCTGCCTCTGGGACAACCGGCCCTCTGCTGTGGAGCTGGCGTCGGGTATCCCTGAGCGGACTCCGCCACCCAGGAGGGCCTCACCCCGGGAGTCTGATTACAAGGAGTCGCTGCTCCTCCCCCCACCCCCCTGGATTGCCTGTCCCGGGTCTGCAGCAGTTGTTGTCTAAGTGTGAATGTAATTAGCTGCTCTGCACCCTTAAAATTAGCAAGTGGCTAATTGTGCCTGTAATCATCAACTGTACCCATAATTAACCGTGTGAGCGATTTTTTGTTATGCAAGTCATTGTGGATGCAAATTTGTGCCCAAGAAAAGGCCTAGGAGAGGTGGTGGGGAGGGAGGAACCATCTCTGCCTGGGGCTGGGGGCAGGGGCTAGGAGCCTGCACGACAGGCTGGACCCTGGGGCTCGGGTCTGACTGTGACACTTAGTGGGGCGAGCTGGGTGGCTGCTCAACCTTTCTGAACTCCATTTCTCTGAGGATGGCAGAGCATCAGCCAGTCCAGCCCTGGTTGGGCTCGAGTGTCTGGCCTCTGCCAGCCAGCACTGTGCACAGGGGCTCTGCAGCACAGCTTTATGACCAAGAAGGCGTGAGCTGCTGCTGGGGCTTCTCCAGCTCAGACTCAGGCCAGCGGTCAAGGGCAGGCTGGGTCATGGAGACCAGGCTGGGCCTATCGGAGAGCTTCCGAGGACTCCCAGGTCTGGCAGGGTGGACCCGCTTGTCCTTGGGTTCATGGCCTGGCGGGCTGCGACTTGGCTGGTGCTGCCTTCCGGCCAGATGAAAGAGCCGCTGCAGGGGGAGGAGGCCAGGGCTCTGAGGATCGGGGGCGTGAGAAGTCTAAGTCGGACGGGCTCCCCTGCGCTCTGAAGGAGGATTTGCCCAGGGAGGAGGGCGATGTATTGTTTAGCATTTCGTTAGGTTGGTCTCTAACTTCCAAGAACTCTGGAACGCGTAGGCGTGTGGCACGTGGGCCTTCCTTTGTGCACCTTCCCGGGGCCTCACAGACGTGAGGAGTGGCCTGGGTTTGTTCCTGTCTGTGGTCCTGGGACTCAGCAGGAGCTCCAGCAACGGCTGCTGAACAAGCAAATGCCACTGTGGACACCAAACCCGCCATGCTCACCCGTCTGCTGCCCCTGAGCACCGTCAGCTTCTTGGCGTGGAGAAGAACAACCCAGGTTGAGGCCGGCTATTTAAAAGGGGACTTTATTTACTCCTCTGGAGCAGCGTGCCAATGCCCCGACCCCGCTCAGGACACGGTAACTCCGCAAAGCTGCTGCGCAGTTTGGAACCAAGACCGCCTGGCACTAAAAACACATTGAAAACATCGACGCTCTTCCCTTTTTTTTCCCTTTTTTTTTTGGTACAAAATGATACAAACAACAATACAAAATAGTTGTGCTGTTGACGATTACAAAAGAAGTGGGAACGTTTGTCTAACTGCGCAATGCTCAGAGTTGCAGTGTGAATACGTCATACTCCAGTATCTTTCCCCAAAACAACCACAGTCATGCGGGCTGCTACACATTTTGTCCATTTTCAAAAAGAAACATGCAAAAAAAAAAATCAGGATGGAAAAAGGAGAGAAAGGAAAAGCAAAAGGCGTTCCAATTATACACAGAGGTGGCCCCCGGCTCTGTGCTTGGCCGCGCCTGTCCTCTGCACACCACGGGGCTGCGAGCTGTGGCACAGGATGCTCTGTGTACGGGAGGTTCCGTGGGTTTTTTGGTGTTATTCCTTTTATCATTGACAAAAATTGAGGCTCCCCTCCCCCGACTTTCGACCTTGGAGAGAACAGAGTTGTCATCTCAAACGTCTGTGTCGGCCGGTGCTCATTCTAGGGAAACTGAGGCCCCTCTGAGGCCTGGCACTTGGCCGTCCCCCTGACGCTGTGGTGGTGGGAGGCCTGCACTTTGGATGTGCTGACAGACATGAGGAGACGACCTGCTTGGCCAGGAGGTGCTGATGGACGTGGCAGCCCTCGGCTAGGGAGCCCGCCAACCAGGGTCGGGGCGTTCTTGCCACCCTACTCTGTGGCACAGGTTTCTCTGTTCACAGAACAAAATTCCCTAAAGAAATGAGGCCGTGCCCAAGCGGTCTGCCAGCACTGAGGCTGGGCCCCTGCCGGCCGGGCCCGGAGTTGTGGACAGGTCGTATTAACAAGCTACAGAAGAGGGACATTTGACACTGATTGTACGCTTAGCTAATGCTAACTCGGCCTCGGAACAGAGTTCCAAGATGCATCTGGGAGGGTGTGGGAACCCCATCTTTCTCTGGCCCCCAGGGGATGCCTGGGGTGGGAGTGAGAGGGGACGGCTGTCCGGTTGTTTGGAAGCAGAGATGGGCATGAGAAGTGCCCCATCGATGTCCCCCCGGCGGGTTGCCACAGCCTCAGCGTGCACGATTTAGGCAAAATGCAACGGGGTCTTGGCAGTGACGAGAAGCAAGGGGAGAGGGGAGAGGCGACAAGGGTGGTGGTGAGACGGGCATCAGCACCTGGCTCTCCTGGGTGGAGTGAGGCCGAGGGCTCCCGGTCACCCGAGTGGTTGGCGGGATTGGTGCTCAGGATGCCGAGTCCTAGGCTGGGCCTGGCACGTCCATCCCTGAGGTGAGCCCAGGGCCTGGGGGACCCAAGGAGTCCTCGGGATTTCAGAGAGGAGAGTCCACAGAATATGGTTGGCTCCCAGACCATATTCACACTTCGAATGGAGGATGAACTTTCCAAAACAAACAAAAACAGAAGATTCGAGCCACATCCACCAGGCCTGACCCCATCAGTGGTCCCTCAGTGGCCTCACCCTAGACTCTGGGACAATTCTCCGTGGCTACCTGAGCCCAAACGATTTGCATAGCACGGCTTCCGACTGGGGGTCCGGTCCCCTTCCCTTGGCAGGCCACCCTCCTGACATCTGTGAGATGGCTGTCTGCCCCGGGGGAGCATCCAGCATGTGACACGGGCGCTCTCCTCTCCTGCCCATCCGTCCCTCTGTCCCTCCCTAGGCAGCCCTGGACAGGGTTAGGATGCACAGAGCCCTCCACAGGCCACATGCTGGAGCCTGTGACCCCAGCTCAGCTCTGGGAGATGGACAGAGTCAGTGATGAGTTTGGTTTGGGGAAGAACCCTGACGTCCAACAGGGACACACCCACACGCTTCGCACACACTTGTGCACACTCAAGTTCATCTTCGAGGCCAAAGCTTTTTAGAAAAGAGGATGACCATAGCAACAGGGACAGGCCATAGGCCGAGGAATAGATCAAGGACCCCCTGATGGAGACACGGAGAGCACGCTGCACCCCAGCCCCCTCCCCCCCCACCTCCCCCAGGCTCTCTTGAGGCCTTCCCTGACCCCGGGAGCAGGTAGAGGGCAGGGGTCCCCGGTGGGGCTCCAAGGCGAGCCAGCCTCCTTGCCCTTGGTCAGCGCTGGAACTCCTCTCCCCAAGGGGGCTCCGATGCCAAGTCCTGCCCAGGGCCCTTCACCCCCTTCCTTGGGGAGCCCAAGAGCAGATGAAGATTTCCCTCTGAGGTGCCTGCCTCCTACCCTGGCCAGAGGAGCCTTTGTGCCCACAAGTGGCTGTCCCTGGGAGACAGCCTGGGGAGAGAAACGCACCAGGCTCCTTGTCTCACCCAGTGAACAGGTGCAGCAGGGGTCTCCCCTGTGGGTCCTTGGGACACAGCCCCTTTTGCTGTCCTGTGGAACTGACCCCCTGGTGTCTGGCTTGAGAGTAGACTGCCGATCCAAAGGGCACTTCCGACTCTGACAGTCTGAGCAGGAACCCGCCCAGCGGCAGCTCGGTGCTGATGTTGGTCCAAGGGAAAGGGGAAGTGCTTTCGTTTCTAGCAGGCGGGGTCCAGACGCATCTGTGGGCGACAGCGCAGCAAGGACGGCCTGCCCTGCCATTCAGAGCAGATCTGTGCCATCCACATCAGCTCATGAGCATTGGAAACTCCAGTCCGGAGAGGCAGGGCAGGGGAAAGAGGCTGCCAGAGTCCCCCGCTGATCGCAGGGTTTCCAAGCCTCTGGAACCGTGAGTGAGGTTCACCTCTCCTGGCTTCTGCACAGCCCAGGGTCGGCGGCTGGAGGCATCAGAGCGCTCAGGGGTTTGGACTGGCACGTGTGCGTGTGCGCTGGACCTTTGACGGGGTCCCTCGGGAGTCAGATGGCGAGAGGCGGACGGCTCATGCCAGGGTTTGCTGAGACTCTGGCTGTTTTGGGCTGTGGCTTCTTGGGCCACCATACTCTACTGTACTGAAGGCAGTTGGGACCTGGGTGGCATTCGGGGTGACAGTTGGCCCTGCGGGAGGCCTCCTGGTTCACTGGGGCGGTCTGGGGGATGGCCAAGGCAGAGATGGGGAGCATCAGGGACGGCCCCTCGGAACCCCACCTGCCCCAGCTATTTACAGCATCTGGGAGTCGGGGCGGCAAAGACTCGGTGCCGGCCACGTTCACACGGTGGCGCCTTTTGTCAGCGGCCTGGCTGCCGCAGGGGAGCTTTCTGCTGCTGGAGCTGAAGGCTGGGCCTCCCCGTCTCCAGCCGGCCTCGGGAGCTCCAGGGGGCCCGGAGACCCTGACTGCGTACAGCAAAGTGTGAGGGCTCAGAAAGGCTGTTGGGATTTGAACCCCAAACTATATTTTCCTTGTAAATTTTGTCAAGCGAGTCACCCACTTTTTTTCCTAATAAAAGACCAAAAAAAAAAAAAAAAAGACACATTCTCCCCAGTTCCTTACTTGGTGCCTTCAGAGCTGGGACTCGCTGGGCTGGGGACTTGTCTGTCTGCTTGCTTGTGGTCACTCCTGAGTTTGAAGGAATCTGATACACGTACCAAAAGGCACTTTCTTTTTCTTTTTTTTTTTTTAAAAACAGTGCTTCTGTTCTAAGAAATTCAAGTTAAGACAGAGTGCCTCTCGCTCCCCTTTACTGCTGACTCAGCTACCGTGATGGGCGGGGTGCCGCGGGGCGAGCAGTGTTCATGCCAGACAGCTCAATGTTGGGGGGGCTGGGGCGGGGAGGGACCCCCTAACACATCACTAAGGACACGTGCGCAGGGAGCCGGGAAGACCAGCTGCCTCCTGCAGTCCTGCTCCTCTGGCGTCTGTCCGAGCGCGGTTCTCGCTTTGGTCCAGGGAGGTGAGGGCGATTAATCCTCCTCGCCGCCTCCGTACATGTCCGCCAACTTCTTGAACCTGGGCCCCCAGTCGTTCAGGTAATCGTAGTCTTGGTCCCCGGAGCTGGACGAGTTCAGGGAGCTGACGGAGCCCGCGGTGGAGCCACTCCCTTCATAGTCGAAGACCAGCAGGGAGTCGTAGGGGGGTGCTGTGGGGTCATTGTCAGCCGCCCGGAGTCCCTGGGGGTCACGAAGACATGGGGTTAGGGTGGAGGGTCTGCTGCCTCAGCCCCAGGGGCCTGACGGAGGGAAAAGGGGAGCCCGGGAGAGGAGCTGGGAGGCAGGTCAGGAAGGTGAGGTGAGAGGGCCTTGCATACAGTAGGTGCTCAATAAGTGCTCCCTGTGTTTGACTGAAGGGCATCTCAGAGAACCAAGTCGGGAACGGTATTTATGAAAATAAACTGTGGAAGAGCGTTGGAGGGAGCAAACTCAAATGACAGCATGGCCGCACAAACCACATGAGGCAAGGGGGTGGGTGGGGCCTGTGGCTAGAGTCAGTCCCTCCGTGTGGCCAGATGGTTCTGGATTCCACAATTGTTGCCACACGGAATGTGAACCTGAGTGGCCAGAGTCAGAATCTGTTGTTACGTCAGCTATCCCCATGAGCAACACACAGCGATGCAGCAGGCGTGGCTGGACCGCCCCTCCATCAGTGCCCGGGACCTCCCTCCTTCCGTGTGCTGGTCCACCGAGAGGTCCCAATGCCTCCAGCACAGCTCCGTGTGCGGGCGTCCTGCTGAGGGTGCCTCTGGGAGCAGCCCTCCCCTGGTGACCGTGGGGGTGGGTACACACCCTGCTCCCCTGCTGGTGGGCGGGACAGCTTGAGGTGGGGTTCTGCATGGGCTTGGGGAGGTCTCCAGTGGGCTAGCCTGGTTGCCCACGGTGGTCACTGGCTGGATGATGCACCTCCCTTCCCCGGGAGGGGGCACCCTCACCATCACTCAGTTTCCAGTGGCTTGTGGTTTCTGTCTTTACTTTCCTCTAAGAGTTGCTTAAAAGTGGGCTTTTAATTATAGACTGGGGAGGACGTATTGTTGGGGTTTTAAAAATTTTTATTACACCAGAGACAGTAAATGTTGCCTAAACTAAATCAGCTTTTGGGCAGGTGTAGAAATTTCATCTGCGGCCTGGGACATGACCTGTTTTGGGGGAATGCTCTTAGAAATCTCGGTATCTCTGCTGAAGCACTTCTGGGTTCTATGCTGTTTAAATAAATTCTTTTAAAGTCAGATTCTGACTCAAGTGGAGACAGAAGCAATGCCAACGCCTCTTAAACTACAGTCGGTGTTAGAGGCCAGGTGGTCAACACTGAGGGACCCACGCCAGCTACACAGGCGATCAAGGATGTCGCCGTCTCTGGGAGCTGATGGGTGAGGTGTGCATGGAGCTGTGCAGGTACCAACCGCCCGACACGGCTGACTGGGGAGAGTTGGGGGGGGGTGCGGCCACATAACGTTCGGAGGAAGGTGGAGGCTGAGGCAGGCGCCGTGCCCCTGCACCTGTCCGTTGAGCATTTCTCTGGTGAACCTGCTGGAGGGGTTTCCGCTTTTCTTGCGAAGGGGGAAGGTCAAAGGCTGGGGACGTTATTTGTTGGGACTTTGATGCTGACTTGTCTCCAGACCCCAAACGTCAGGATGGGTGCTGTGGCCACGGGGTCAGGTGGCAGCTCCTGAAGGACGCCCAGCTCTCGGGCGTTCCCAGGGCACCGGGTGTGTGTGTCGGGGTGGTCTGGGCTGGGCCTGATCTGGGCAAGTCACAGGCCTGTCTGGGCCTCGGAGGCGAGTGCAGACGGGGAAGGGCCCTCGCAACAGCCAGAGACCAGAGTGAGAGTAGAGCCCTCGGCCCCTGAGTCAAGTCCAACAGCGGTGGCTCCTCCTCCTGAGGACCAGAGACGGCCTCCTGCTGCCCCCTGTGCCCGCCACCCCTGTGGCCTCAAGTTCTCTGAGTTCTTAGCGAGCGTCTGCCGGCTGCTGCGCCCCGTCTGCTCATCCTCGCCTGTGCTGGAGCAGGATGCTGAGGGGAGGTGCCTGGCCCCAGGGCTTGAAGCTGGCAGGGGCAGGGCAGGGCCTGGACCCAGGGCTGAGTCTGTCTTCTCACCCCGACACCGCGGGTGCAGGACGGTGACAGCTTTGATTTGTGTGCATGAACAGGGTTTTACTTTTATGCGGACACCCTGCTCAGGGGCCCTCCCCATTGCCCGGAGCGCCCACCTCGTTGATGAAGTCGCCGATGTCTCCTGGATGGGGCACCACGGGCCTGACCGGGTACTGGGGCTCGGCGCCCACTGGCCGCTCGTCCACCCGCCGAACCCCGGGGGCCTTGCTCAGCACGTGCTCCATGGCCTCTGGCTGCTGCAGTTGGCTGAGGTCGTAGTCCTGGGGAGGAGGTGTGGGTGGGGCAACAGGCACAGGTGCACCCTCGTCCTGTTGTGTGACCCAACTCCAAGCATGCCCACTGTCCTGTCCCGTCACCTGGTCCCCAAGCACGACCGCTGTCCTATCCCGTCATCTGGTCCCCAAGCACGCCCACTGTCCTATCCCGTCACCTGGTCCCCAAGCACACCCACTGTCCTATCCCGTCACCTGGTCCCCAAGCACACCCTCTGTCCTATCCTGTCATCTGGTCCCCAAGCACGCCCACTGTCCTATCCCGTCACCTGGTCCCCAAGCACACCCACTGTCCTATCCCGTCACCTGGTCCCCAAGCACACCCACTGTCCTATCCCGTCACCTGGTCCCCAAGCACGCCCACTGTCCTAGTCTGTCACCTGGTCTGCCCTTCCTGAAATGCCCACTTCTCTTCCATTCGTCCAAATCCTGCTGGTCCCCAAGGCACACGAGGGGTCTGTGTCCCCCAGGCTGCCTTTGCTGGGCTGACGCTCCCCCAGGGTGGCCCCTGCCTACACCTCAGCTCCCATGCACACTCCTCACTAAGCTTTAGGGGGGTAAGGACTTGCCCTGAGTCAATGGCCAACGGCAGACCCAGAATCCAACCCAGCAGCTCCCTGGGCCCACCCTCCTGGGCACCCTATGTGCTGCCTCCTGGTCCCCCCACAGCCCCTGGGTTGTCCCTGGGTCAGGAGTGTCCTCGGGACCCCCTGGGTCGTGGGGCACAGGCCCATCAGCTGAGGGGAGGGAGCAAGCTGAGGGGATCCAAAGCCTAGGGGAGATGAGTTCATGCTGGTCGCCGTGTGGAGGAAGCTGGTACCCTGTGCACGCACCCAGGCCTGGAAGTGCAAATGCGGGCAGGACAGGTCTGGGAAGACTGTCCCCACCTGTCCCTGCTGTCCTGACTAGAGCATTGGCCGCCTTCACACTATAGAAACGGACAAAGCGTCTTCCTGCTGAAACCCAAGAGGGAGTCCTGGAGGCGGTGTGTAGGGGTGTCCGGCAGCTGTGGTCTCACCTGGTCCTCCTCGCCGCCCCCTTCCTCGTCGTACTTGAGAATGTTGTCACGCACGTCGTCCTCGGGGTCAATGAGCAACTGCTTCGTGTGGCGCTCCTTCTCCCGCCGTTTCATCCACACGACAAACAGCAGGACCATGGCTGTGGGGCAGGGGGGCCACGCCGTGAGTAGGTGTGCGTGTGTACGCATTCACCTGTGTGTGCCATGTGTGTGAGCATGTGTATGCGTGTGTGCTGTGCACCTGTGTGAGAGCTTGCACATGCATGTGTGTGTATGTCCATGTGTGTATGTGCATATGTGCATGTCTGTGTGGGAATGTACTCCTTCGTGCATATGGATAGCTCATGTGCATGAGTACATGCATGTGTGTGCACGTCTGTGTGTGTATATGCATGTGTGCATGTGTGTGTGGGAATGGACTCCTTTGTGCATATGGATAGCTCATGTGAGTGTGCACGAGTGAGTGCATGTATGTGCCATGGGTGCCTGTGTCCGTTATGGTACAGACCAGTTCGGTTGGGTTTTTGAAAGGTCCCCAGTGGATGGGATGAGGCCGGGAGACATTGGCTGCAGGGCAAACCTGGGCTCCACGCCTCTGGTCAACCCTGGGTGGAGTGCTCAGGCCACGGCGCCCTTGGTGCTCAGCCATACTCACTCAGCAGGATGACGATGCAGATGAGGATGGCCACGATGGCACCGGTGCCCAGACCAGCTGCTGCCACCGCACCAATGGTGGTACAGTCGCCGTTCTCATCACATGGGCACACCTTGACTTTGATGATGGACATGTTGGACAGGGGAGGGTTCCCAGAGTCTGTGACGATGATGGGGACATCGTACATGCCAGCTTCCAGGTACATGATACGCAAGCTGAGCTGGGCATAGTCACCTGGGCAAAGCGACAGAACGGGCTTTGTTCAGTAAACGGCCAGCTCTCCTGTCTGAGCAAGGCTTCAGAAGGAAAAGACTCAGTGCATGAAAATCTAAATTATCTGTTTGGTTAACACACACACACATATGCACGCACATGCACACATACACACTACATCATACCATAAGGTTAAAAGACATTGGAAATTCAAGAAAAGAGCAATTGCAACACGTAGGATGAAGAAATCATTTCCGTAATATATAAAGAGTTTGACCAAATCAATTAGAAAAAAACCTTCTCAAAGAAAAATAGGCAAGGGCATAGAACAGACAATTGACAGAAGAAACAACAAATGCCCAATAAATATATGAAAAAATGTCCACTGGTAGTCAAGAGATGCCAATGGAAACAATGATTTTGGCTATAAATATGGAAAAATGCTCTTTAAAACAATAATAGACAGTGTCAGTGAGGTTTTGGGGAAGAGGCACTCTCCTGTACTTCTAGTGAAACCAGAAACTGCTATAACCTTTCTAGATGCATCTTTACAGTGCTAGAAAAACTTCCGAATTTGGATGCCCTTTTATACAATGAGTCCACATCTAGCAGACTACCCTCAGGAGGCACATTGTTCGGGGCCCACCAGTTGGCCACTGGAACAGGAGGCAGTCCTGGACGGTGCAGTTAGAGCTGCAAGGGCCTCCAGGGCCACGCTCCTGACGACAGTGAGAGATTGGCACTGCCCTGAGGCCTCCTCAGGACAGGCTGGACTTGCTGCGCACGGGAGCCTGGCCAGGGCTCCCAGCCTTGTGGGCTCCAGGAGGGGAAGGGCCGACACCCCTCTCGTGAGACTGGCCCCATCTCCGCTCCTCACTCTTCCAGGGCAACGGGCGCCCTTGGGGGCTGCACCCAGACTCAATCTGATCCTCCCGGTGGCTGGCGCAGTGGGCTCGTGCCCGAGGTGGGCTCACCATTTAAGCGGCTGATGGTCCAGTTCTTCCGCACGGTGGCCGGGACGAAGGGCAGCTCGAAGACGTAGGGGCCGATGTTGGGGTCAATGTCAGCATCGGCTGCTGTGATGTTGATGGCGTTCAGGCTGGGCTTCTCGCAGATCTGTGCCTCCTTGGGCAGCAGCTCGGGGGCATTGTCATTGATGTCAATGAGATAGATCTGGAGGGTCCCGGTGCCGCTGGCCGGGGGGATCCCTGTGGGACAGACATGGGGTGAACATGCAGGGGTCTCTCCTGATGCTCCATGACCACAAACACACAATGATGTACATGGGACCAACCCACAACCCCACCCGGGACAGACCTCAGCCCCACCCAGGACAGACCACAGCCCCATCAGGGACAGACCACAGCCCCATCAGGGACAGACCTCGGCCCCACCCGGGACAGACCTCGGCCCCACCAGGGACAGACCTCGGCCCCACCCAGGACAGACCACAGCCCCACCCGGGACAGACCATAGCCCCACCTGGAACAGACCTCAGCCCCATCAGGGACAGACCACAGCCCCACCCGGGACACACCACAGGTAACCCCAGGCCTGTACCAACACCCTGCCGTACAACATACACAGCCACTCAGCTGCACACAACATATGAACACACCACCAGAGCACACAGTTGCATGATGTGTGGCCACACGCAGACCCCCAGCCGCACAGGCACACACGTGCACACGCACTCACACGAGCTCTGCTCGTGCACAGCTGCAGCAGGCCTGTGTGGCTGGCCCTGCGTCCCGTCTCTCCCAGCCTGGGGCCCCTGGGGGCAAAGGCTTTCCTGGCCTCAGCATTGCCCTGGCCCACCCGGCAGAGCTCCCCGTGGCCGGAAGCACTGTGCGCAGAGGCTCATCACCAAAGCGGAGAGCTGACCGGTCAGAGCGCAGGGCAACGGTGGGAGAGAGGGGCGAGGCCGCCAGCAGGCCGCTCTCGGCAGTCGTCTTCTGCTTTTGGTGGCCTCAGCCTAGAGACAGGTGCTCTGCTGAGCCCCCGAGCTCCTCAGGGGCCACCCCAGTCCCCCGATGCCCCTATGCCCAGCCTCTGCCTCAGCCCGGGTGGCGGTGCTGGTGGACACGGGCTGGGCGGCCAGCGAGAGGTGCCTGTCGCCCTCCAGGCTTGGAGGGGGCGGCAGCAGCCATGTTCTGACTGTGGCTCTGCCCTTTGACAGCCCCTTCTGTCCCTTGTGTTAACAGCCGTGGTTTTTGGCCGAGGCAGGCGGAGCGTGTAAAAAATATATCCTACAGCATGTCTCTAAGCTTCCAGAAAACGCATCAAGACACGTTGAAGGCTGGCTGGCCTGGTGGCATAGTGGTTAAGTTCACACGCTCTACTTTGGCACCCAGGGTTCGCCGGTTTGGATCCCAGGTGTGGACCTACACACTGCTCGTCAGGCCACGCGAGGCGGGCCCTACATAAAAGAGGAAGATGGGCACAAATGTCAGCTCAGGGCCAATCTTCCTCACCAAAAATAAAAAAAGGGAAAAACAAAACACGTTGAAGGTGACACAGCTCTGCGACGGCCCTTGAAGGCTCCATGCTGACCCAGCGCACAATCAGGAGAAGCGCGGATGGATTCCGTTAACGGGCACTTGCGCTCCACTGTGTCCTCCACGGGCTTTCCCTGCTCTGCCCGATTCATTTAAGGGTCACTCTCTAATCCACTCTCAGTGCTCGAGCTGCTGGAGGAGTGACATCGGGAACCAGAGCCCGGCGCTCATGGCAGGTGGCTGTAGGGTGGGGCCTTTGTGGAGCTGGTGGGTCAGGGAGTGGGCAGGAGGCCGGCGGGTGGTCAGTGCCGTGAACAAGCCTTGGTGCAACCGCTACTCTTGTTCATGATGCTTTAGCTGCACGGCTGTTCCTAGAGCCCGCCCCGCCCTGGGCCTTTGCACGTGCTGTTTCCTAACTATGGGGCTGCCCCTCCCACCCCGTCTTCCCCTGGCTTGTTCCTTCTGGTCCTGCAGGTTTGGCCCCACGGTCAGCTCCTCACAGCCAGGCTCGCAGCTGGAGGCCTGCTGCCTCTCCTGCATCCTTCTGTTTTGTCGTCTTCCAGCACTTCTCGCTCCCTGAAATTATCTGATTGACTCGCTTCTCCCCATCTCCCTGGGGCAGAGACTGCGGAGTTGTCCCTCAATATCCATCTCCCCTTTCTTCCTTAATAAAACACTGGAGCCCCAAATTTCATCTGGGGCCATCACTGCCCAGCTAGAAGACACATTTTTCAGCATCCTTTGCAGCAAATATAGCCTCGTGACTAAGTCTGGCCTTCAAGTCCTTAGAAGGGCAGGGGTGTGCCCTTGCCCTTCCTGCTCCTCCTTCTGTTTGCCAGAATGTGGCAAATCCGTGATGGCTGGAGCACCAGCAGCCATTCTGAACCACGCTGTAGCTCACCAAAGACATGGGAGTGGCCAGAGCCAGCCTGGTTTCTCAAACCTGACCCAGGGCTGCCTGTCTCCAGCCTTCTTTTATATGGGAGAAAATAAAACTCAACCTTATTGAAATTAGTGTCATCATTATGCAGCCGAACCTGGTACTAGCTGAGACACCGGCCTCTGGAACGTCAGCCGTGCAAGGGAGGGGCTGTTGTCCGTTCTGTTCACTGATGAACAGCGCCCGGCACACGGCAGGAGCTCAGTGAGCAATCACAGGAGTGCTAGTAGTGCGTGCTTGAGCCAGGCCCTGTTCCCAGTGCTCCAGGCGAGCGACCTGTGCGAATGCGAGTGAGTGACTGCGCGAATGACCGGACGGCTGTGTGTTCCAGTAAATGAGTGAGCTCGGTGTTTAGGCAGAACGGCTGATGCCTTGAGGGAACACAGCAGGATGGCCTGGGGGGCACCGTGTCGCCGCGTCCCCCCCCCCAGACCTCCCCAGGGACCCTCTGGGTGCCGGGCGGGCCTCCCTCAGCCTCCTGGCCGCAGAGCCCGCGGCACGGGTGGGCACCCGACAGTCACCCCCCGGAGCGGGACGCACCGTTGTCAGCCGCCAGGAAGGTGGCCTCGTAGACGTTGTTTTTGACGTAGAGGGACTCACGGTCAAGGATGGCCGCCGTGGTGATCTGACCGTTGGTGTTGTTAATGTGCAGCCAGTTCGCCGGGTCCGACAGCTTTGAGTATCTGCCGAGGCAGGAGGGAGGGCGTGAGGGCAGGGAGGCCAGGGGCAGGGGGAGAACGGGGCAGCCAGAGGCCCCAGCCCCTCCTGGCTGCTGGCACACCCCTCCTCGGAGTGCCAGCCTGGAGGCCAAGTTCACCCGGGGGCTCTCCCTCCAGCCCGGGGCGGGGCCCTCCCACAGCGGGACGGGGACCACGGCTGCTCATAGTATTGGAGGTAGACAGGTCACTTCTCACAAGGACCCCAAGAGGCAGATACTCCCATCGTCCCCAATTTACAGATGGGGAAACGGAGGAACAGAGAGGGTGAGTGACTTGCAAAGTCATACACCTAGTGAGGGTGAAGCCAGGATCAGGGCCCGGCCCGACTCCAGACATCGCCGGGTGTCTTTAAACCTTTGTCACCTTCTCGTGTGGAGGCCATGACAATGCTTGTGGTTTGTTGAGTGCTTTTGGCATTGCCCCAACTACCTGTGTCAGGTGGGCAGATGACCCCCACTGTCGCCAGGGCTGGGGAGAGACCCCACAGGTCGAAGACACCCCAAAGCACCCACCCAGGGACTTTCTGGGCGGAGGGTTTCATCGGGCATTTTAGGATTCTTCTGTATGGAAAATGGGGGGCCCAAGGGCGGGGCACGGGCAGGCCTCGCTCAGGACCCACCGCACGGCCTGCTGCATGAACCGGTCAGGGTCCACGGCCGAGAACGTGGTCAGCACGGTGCCGGGGGGCACGCCCTCCTCCAGGCGGATCAGCTTGTGGTTCGAGGGGAAATAGGGGGCCTCGTTGATGTCCATGACCGAGATGGTCACCCCCGCGGTGGACTGGAAGGACATCTGGATGCCACTGGCCAGCGGCGCCTGGTTGGACACCATCACGGTCAGCATGAAGGCTCTGTTCAGCTCGTAGTCGACCGCCTGGAACGAGAGCAGCCCCGGGGTGAGCTGGCAGGGCCGTGGGGCCGCGTGGGGTGCCGCCCCCGGCTGGCTGGTCTGCACCCCGCCCCCTCTGTTTCCAGCTCTGCACACCCTGCTTTGTGCCCTGGGGGCTGTCCTGGGGGATGCGTCTCCCAGGCTCCCTTGTCTCTGGCTTCCTGCTGGCTTGGCCCATGGGAGAAGAGAGAGTTTGGGGCAAAGGACCCCACACCCGCCCTCTCGACTTGTGCCATGTGTGGCAGTAGCTGGGTGCCTCGGCTCCCACGGCTCGGGAGTGCTGTCCCCCGGCCCGCCCCCTCCAGCCTGGCATGTGCAAGGTCCCACTGCCTGTTTGTTTGTCCACCAGGTGCCTCACTAGGTATAGTGGGTGGAATGGTGGCCCCCCAAAGATATGTCCGTCTGGAACCTGTGAATGTGACTTTATTTGAAAATAGGATCTTCACAGATGTAATTAAGTTAAAGACCTTGAGAGGAAGTCATCCTGGATTGAGGTGGGCCCCAAATCCAAGCACAGATGCCCTTATGAGAGTAAGGAGAGGGAGACCGAGACGCAGCGAGAAGCCACGCGAAGACAGAGGGGGAGACTGGAGCGATGCGGCTCCCAGCCAGATTGCCGCCAGCCGCCAACTCGGAGGGAGGCAGCAGGGAGACCCCTGGAGCCTGCGGGGGAGTGCGGCCCTGGCCTCACCTGGATTCTGGACTTCTGGCCTCCGGACCACAGGAGAACATATTTCCTTGGTTTGGTCACCCCCCCCCCGCCCCCAATTTGTGGAACTTTGTTACAGCAGCCCCGGGAAACTCAGAATCTCGTCTTATGGACTCCCCCTCTGTGTGTGGCCCCTGCATTAACATGGTCTCCACTTACACCCTTGGGGGCGCCCAGACCCCGACTATAGACACTAGGGTGGGCTCTAGTCTGCAGTTCTATAGTGGACGGGGTGCTGTCCGTCTGCAGGTCTTCCTCCTGTTTGGGGAGCAGGGAAGTTGCACCGAAGCACTTGGGACCCCGAGACGTGTAACCAGTCATGGCAAAGCTCACAACAGCCTCACTGGAAAACACAGCACAACGCAGTGCATGCAGTGGCGCCTAACCAGTCCTGCTTAGACACACGCAAGGTCACACACGCACAGGATTCTTCATGGTGGTGTCGTTTGTCTCATTGGTCAAGGATGCGTTTCAGAGCCCACCCAGGCGTCCACAGCCCTGGCTGCTTGAATGGACTGCATCCACACAGTGTGGAAATCCCCAGCTGAGGGAAAGAGTGGGAGGGTCTCTGTGCACGGAAGCGCAGAGATCTCCAGGGTGTATTGGCGGGCAGAGAAAGCAAGACACGTCGTCTCCTGCCTTCCATGTAAAAGAGGGAGAGGAATAGGAACACGTCTGTGTATTTGCTCCTAGTTGCAGAAAGGAATACTGCAAGGATAGACCAAAAATCTCCTAAGAATGGGCGCCAATAAGAGAGGGAAGGAATGGGGGCTGGGCCTGTGGCCGAGGGGTTAAATTCACGCGCTCCGCTTTGGCGGCCCAGGGTTTCCCAGGTTCAAATCCTGGGTGCGAACATGGCACCGCTCATCAAGCCATGCTGAGGCGGCGTCCCACATGCCACAACTAGAAGGACCCACAACTAAAAATACACAACTATGTATTGGGGGGCTTTGGGGAGAAAAAGGAAAAATAAAATCTTAAAAAAAAAAAAGAGAGAGAGGGAAGGAAAAGGGGAGGGGAGAGCTGGGGCACGCCGCTGCTGCATGTGCTCTGTCACACAGCTTTGGTTTGGGAGCCAGGTAATACCTTACATTCTCTCACTTTAGGTATTACAAATAAAATTATATATAAAAGCAATCTCTGAAAATTACAAGCAAACTGAATTAAATGTAATTGTATATCAGTGGATAATATAACTCCCAAGAAAATAATGATGCCCAGTGGCTAGGAGGTATTTAGATGGTAAGTCCTTAATGCGACTTATTGTAAGGACAACAGTCATTGCAAAGAAATCCTAAACTCGTTTGGTCTTCTTGCTCTTGCTACTGATTCTGCATTTGTTATTTTTTAAACTTTTTATGTATTTTCTAGGATAAAGTAAGGAAGCATTATGTTAATATGTTAGGAACCGAAATTTTCAGTGTAAGAGAAATGAGATACAAGAGCAAAGTCAATGAAGTAAAAACCCTCCGACGTTAAATCTGAAGGAAATGATCATTTGAGTCAGTGACATGAATTTGGGACAGTCAGTCTGAGCACTGGTTTGAAGTGTCACCTCCTCACTCTGCCCCAGAAAGAATGGCAGAGGCCGTGGCCGTCAGCGGCCGTGAGTGCCTCTTGTAACACATGTTGGTTTCTAAACGCCACCCCTCCCTGGAGAAATACCTGGTCCGGACATGAGACAAGAAATCAACAAGAGGAACCTGTGTCTACTTGGCCACAATGTAAGGAAGCACTCAGGAACAGGCGGCTGGTGGCGAAGGACCCAGGGACCAGCCAGGGGAGGCTCCCATCAGCCAGATATCAAAACCCATAAGGACTCCAGCTGACCAAACACACTGAATGTGAAAAACCCACGCATTCTTAACGGTTACGAGAGAATAGCACTTGTGACAAAAACACACACACAAATTCATTTATCACTTTGGTTGGCTGATTAATGGCCTGATTAATGGATTCCAACCAAGGAATGACGGAATTTTAAAAGCACCATTTTGTACCCCCTAATGAAGAAATTAATTTGGACAATGACCATCAATAGATGATAAAACCAACGCACGGAGGTCGATGAAGAGCCTCAGGCATGAAGCATCCTGCTGCAGAGGGCTCGCTGGTCGTAAGGGGAAAGTCGATTCTACAGTGAGGGCCGGGCTGTCACCACTGGCCCACTGGTCCGGCTTAGGCGACTATGAGCAGGACCACCGGGCACATAGGCGTCCTGATGGGACTCAGCTCCAGCCACGAGGCTCCTCCTGCTGGCAGACCCTTCCAGTCTAAATCCCAGGTTGTAGGAAGTGCAGGGGAGCGAGGAGCCACATACACCATGAGGTGGCTGGACAGATCTGGCACGTGGGGCCTTCCATAAGCCACCTGACCCCACGTCTATGACAGGTCAAGGGTGAGCGGAATGTTCTAGGTTACGATGTTACAACCAGGTGCATTGTGGGGACCCTGCTTGGCTCCAGATTTGAAAAATCATATTGCAAAGAGATAGTTTCAGGAAGATCAAGGGAAATTGAATATAGCCTTGTATTGGCAAATATGGAGGAAACATAGTTGATTTTGTCAGGTGTGATGACAGTGTGTGGTTATGTAAGCAAAATGCATTTTTGAGGGTGATGCATCCTGACAGTTTGAGAGGGAGAATCATGAGGTTTGGGAGTTAAAAACATACTTCAGCAAAAAACATAGATGAAGTAAAATGGCAACACGCTAATAATGGTGAAATTTCGGTGGCAGATGAACTTTACGCGGTCTCTCTCACTTCTGGGGGTGCTTGGAAATTTTCATGATAAACAGTATAGCGCATTTCTGCTTAGAGAGGAATTTATCTGCTGTGTAGCCAGTTTTCACGTTGACACCTGTGGTTGCTGGCAGCGCCACTCCCTCCACCCCCGGGCCCGTCCTCTGATCTCTCCCCTCTGCTCCGGCGCAGCTGTGAGGCACCTCTCCCGATCTGATCTGAACCTGCCCCACCCCTGGGCCCCCACACAGCTTGGCATTTGATTTGTGTGAGCATTTAAAGTCACACCCCTGGTACAACAAACCCATGCCGTCTCGCCTACTGCTACCAAATAGGGTATTAAGTACAAAAAGAAGGAACTTAAAAATTAAGTAAGTAATAGTACCCATGGGCATGGAAGGAGAAGTGAGACATTGGGTCATGAATGGCTGAGGACTGCCCTACAGGGGTCTGGACGCAAAGGCAGAGATCGGGGTTCTGGGGCTGATGCCTCTGTCACCCCCCCCAATTCCCCCAGGGGACCCTGGGGGAGCCCTCATGCTCTCCAGGAGTGGTCTCCTTGTCCGTCGAAGGAAGGGGTGGTCCCTGCATGCCTCCTGGAGCCCCCACTGAGATGCCTATCCCTGACGGGACACGCCTCGTCGTGGCTGATGTCTCACCCATGCTGTTTTCGCATCCCCACCCCGTCTTTTCAAGCCCCTTGGGGTGGGGGTTGCCTGGCGCTCAGCACTGTGCCAGAGTGGGTCAGCCGTACCCCATGGGTGCCCGGGGGATGTAGGGAGATGGTCCAACACCCCTGTTGTCCACCATTTGCCCATCACCCAGCACAACACTGGGTGCTGCTCAGGTGTGTGTCTATGGGAGAGCCTTGCACCCACAGGTGTCACCCTGGCAGGACCTGCAGTGGCCCAAGCTGGCGGCCAGCCTGACGAGGCAGCCGATGCAGAATAACCTGGTACCCCTCGCCTGAAAGGTCCCACCGGGGACTTCAGGCCAGAGACCATGAACCCTCCCCAGGTGCGGGCTGCCTCCTCCGTCCCTGGACTCCGGATGCCTCCAAGCACAGAGCACTCGCCTGCTCCCCGCTGTGTCCAGTGCTCCCCCACGCCAGAACCAACACCCACCAAGGCCTCCAGCCCCTGCCCCAGGCCCTCTGAGAGTTGGCCAGGGGTGAGGGCTGCTCCGTGTAAATATGCTGTTTCATAAAGTCATGGTGGTTTCGTCTACAAACAAGCCACTAAAGGAAGTGACCTTTCTCCCATATTTATTGGTTTGTGTCCCTGGAGGACATGGAATAATGCCACATGTCATGCATAAAAATTGGGTCACCAGTCTGAGTGAGGACGCCTTCCAGAAAGACTGTTATGGCCAATAAAAGTCTGTAGGAGGGTAAAATAAAGCATATTTGTAATGGAGAAATCAATAGGTAATTCGCTCCAACAGTTTCCATTAGAGCAGTTAGATGTACTCGCCGGGTCTCCCCCGACATGGCAATGACCTTTGCTAAAGGCGAAGGGCTGGGTCTGCCCGCTGAGGAGCAGCAGCCCGGGGCGAGCCAGGCATACGGGACGGGGCTGGGGGCACCCCAGCTTGAGGGCAGGGCCGCCAGGGCGCTTGGAGCTCCAGGGTGTGGGCTCTGCTCCCGTGGGACGGGAGACTCGGGGCAAAGTGCTTCCATTCAGAGTCTTGTTCTGGGAGCCAGAACTTGAAGAACTGCTGGGCTGAAGGGAAAGAGGGGCCAGAGGGGCTTGACCCCCAACTGACCTGTCCCCTGGTGTTCCTGCCGCCCGCCACCCTCCGTCAGGCATCTGGACACAGCTCACTGCAGCCTCAGGCAATCCCCGTGGCCGCGGAGTGGGGAGCGGAAGAGGCCAATTCCTGGCCTTTGAGCTTCAGAAGCTGGGGACCAAGCACGAGGCAGGAGGAACCTGTGGTCGGTCTGAGCCTGTGGTTTTCTCCCTGGAGGAGACTGCGATTTCACGGCTCAGGGAGGGAGAGGAGGGGGAAGAGCAGGGAAGAGGCAATGGGGCCTCCTGAGGCAGATGGGGATGGTGACAGATAAGGCTGGGGATCTGAGAGCAGAGGAGCTGTGTGCCCTGACCCAGGTAGAGCCTGGGAGGCGGCGAGTCTCCTGGGGCCCCAGGCCCTGTGTGTCACAGGAGGGTAGAGTTGGGGGGCATGAGGGGCAGGGAAGGGATCAGGAAGACGTGCTCGAGATGACCGTGGACTTCCTGTGACAGTGACTGAGCTGGACTTCAGGACAGGGGGACGATGCAGCCAGGATCTGTGAGTGAGGGCTGAGCTGACCATAGACATCTCTGCAGCAGCCCAGGGACCCTGTCCTCCCCCTACACAAGTGCCACGTCGGCCCTTCACGGGCAGTGTATCAGCCTCCAACACAGACACCACTGTGGGAAAGGGATGCAGAGGTGGTCCCAATCTGGGAGTGACCAGCACCTGGGGACACGGGGGCTAGAAGCAGAAGCTAACATGTTTTAGAGAAGGAAAGTGATGCTGCATGTTGCTGGGTCTGTGGCTCCCGTGTGTCCCCGCTGTGAGAACATCTCGGAAGTTCCTCCTGACATCCCCTCTGCAGACTACAAACTCCCGCAGGGCCGGGGCAGTGACGGGGTCGGGTCTGCAGTGTACGTACACAGCGTGGCACCTGATGCTTTTAAGGGACTCAGGGACCCTGTGTGGAATTGAAATGACCTTCTTCATGCACTGGGGAACCAGCTGGGAAGAACCACCCGTCCATGGCAACAGCAATGGCGATGACAGTGACAATGATGACGAGGACGACAGCAGCTAATTCTATCCACTGAGCCCTTACTGTGCCAGGTGCTATACCAAATCTTTTATATCTGAGATCTATTTCAATGTTAGCAATAAACCTGGGTGTTGGCCCCACAATTATCCTCATCTTACGTATGAGGAAACTGAGGCACAGAGAGGATGACTGGTCCCTGCCAGGGGTAAGTGAGCAAAGAGCGAGCATGGGAGTTCAAGAACAGATGCCCCCAAGGCACCGGACCTGCCCTGTGGCTGGGCCGCTGGGTCCCTAACTGCCACTCTACCCTCCCACGCCCCCGCCTCTCCCCAGCCCCCCCAGCCACCCCTCTCTGAAGGAGAATGTCTGAAAGGATGGTGTCTCTATCAAAGAATGCAAAACCAACTTGAAAATGCTTTCTAAGATGAAACATCCTGCCGTAAACAGACTTTAAATTGAAATTCTAGAGAAAAGCCTCATGTGCAATAAAATCAAAAATGAAAGAAGGATGGGGAAAGTGTGGCGCTAACTGCTGAATTCTGCCTGGGACACAGTGATGACTCAATGGGGACAGCGCAGCTGTGTGCGCTCCCACCCTGAAGAGTTTTAAGATTTATTTAAAAATTTACATACAGTTCAATCCACTGGTGAGTTCTGACAAGTGTGGGGAGCCGTGTGTCCACCACAAGAAGATACGGAAGAGTCGACCCCCCACATCCTCTCGTGCTGCCCCTCTGAAACCAACCCTTCACATCCCCAGCACATTTCTTGAGGTTCGTCTATCATCTTGATGCCAAAACCTAGTTAAAGACAGTGTGGGAAGGGAAAAGTATAGGCTCTAAATTGCTCAGAAAAATACATGAAAAAATCTTTTGATGTTAGCAATGCAAGTCCTGCAGTGCTGCTCACTAATCCTCCTGATTAAGTTGGATTTGTCTCAGGAATGCAAGGATGGTTTAACTTCAGAAAGCCTCTTAATGGAATTCACCACTAATAGATTAAGGGGAAAATGCCCTTCAGGGAGGGGATGGGAGAGTCATCTTTTAGTGGGGGTGCAGGTCAGGTCTGCCGAGCCCCTGGACATGACTAAGTCCTTGTGAAGGCTGCTTCTGCCACCAGCGGACTGGGTATAGTCCTTTTTGCCCTTGGATGCTAGGGGTGGCATGCACTTCACCTAAGTACTGTTTCTGTGATATTTGTTCCAGGGTACATGGCAGGGGGCAGGACTCAGGATGCTGTCAGGAGGCGAGGAGAGCACCCACCTTCACCACGGTGACCATGCCCTCATTGGTGACAGGGTCCGTGCGGATGCTGAAGTGCCCCGAGGGGTCCCCGCTGATGATACGGTAGACGGCGTTCCAGTTTGGCGAGTGGGGCTGATCTCGGTCCATCACGGTGAGGTTTGCGACCACCGTTTCCACCCGGTTTTCGGGGACTTCCCCTGCATACTGCAGAGCGTAAGGAAAGAGGATGTTACGAACCCATGTGAAGCCTGGAGGGGTCGGGAGAGGTTCTCCATCAGCCTGGGGGAGGTGCCTCTGCCTCCCGCTCATCCCAGACACAGTGATCCCCGTGGCCGGGCCCTTCTCCTGCTCATGGTGGCGAGGTAGCATGTCAAGAGGGCTCTGCTTCCTCCAGCTGAGGCCCAGCAAGCCCCACGGCTCATACCTGCACACATCCACCTCCAGATGAAGCCTCAGCTGCCCCCCAGTACACACATGAGCGTGCACCAGCCCCTCTCCTGAATCCCCTTCGAGCCTTCGCACATGCAGCAGAGAGCCGAGACATACAGGCGGCCACAGGGACGAGCTTGCACATGGGGCATAAACAGCAGTGGAGCGGCAACGGCAAAGGGCTTCCTCGGGAGGGTCTGTCTGGGCTCCTGCCATCCGGGTGGTCCCTGACCCAGGCTTGGGGCTTGGGGTCAGCAGCTGCAGGCACGCAGGTGACCAGACACGAAGCGTCAGCCCTTTTTCCTGCCACAGCACAGTGAGGGCTGCAAGCCAGCCCCACCGGTAGGTGTGGTGCCCACAGCAGCGATGGTGTGAGTGGGGAGGGCCACTGCGCGTGTTGGTGTTGGGCTGGTGAGAGGAATCGGAGTACCTCCCACCCGGTGAGAACCGCTGCTCAGGCCTGGCTTCGCGGGCGTGCAGCCTGGGCCGCTGCCCTGCACACTCACAGGGCCTGAGCTCGGTTTAATGCTCTGCTGTCGCCGTCTCAAATCCTTACTAACTTGTGAACAAGGGCCCACACTGAACACCGCGCCCTGCACAGTCCACGGTCAGTCCTGGCGCTGTGTCGTGTGCTTTTCAGCCCCCAAACGTGGAGGCAAAGTTTGGACGAGGATCTGGGGGTGTCTGGTTGTGTTCACACCAGCACAGCCCAGCAATGATTACTGATGGCCGCTGTGTGCCAGGCGCTGGGCCAGGCACCGCGGTGCAGGATGTCACGTGTTCCTCAGGATAACCCTGCTCTTACCCCATCGTATAGATGAAGACATTGAATCACGAGAGGGTGAGACCCTGGTTGCCACAAAGGGAGGGGCCCAGGGCGTCAGTCCTAAGAGTCGAGCCCCAAGTGCTGGGCCTGGTGTCAGGCCACACGAGAGCCAGTCAGGGGCACAGAAGGGGAAGGAAGGGATCCAGAGACAGGCTTGGCAGGCGTCCCAGGCAGCTGGACCCAGCCCCTCATCCTCGTGGGCCTCTCGCACCTGCCTGATTTCAGCCAGAAGCAGGTTTCGTGGACATGTCTGGAGGGGCCAAGCCAGGCCCGGGGGGAGAGGCGCCCTTAGCATAGGGAGGCAGTGGGCCAGGTCCTTCTTGTTGAGCCATCCTCCCCCTTCCCCCTGGGCCGGAGACTCAGCGGGGATCAAGGTGGACAGGCCCCTGCCCTCCAGGACCTGACGTTTCTTGTGGGCTACGTATGGGCTGCTGCACTGCACAGCATTGTGTATGGGAGCTGTGCCCGCCGGGGCCCGGAGATCCACAGTGGGTGTTTCAGGGAGGGGTCTGCTGGCAGTGAGGACAAGGAGGAGCCATGCCTGACGGGGGTTCTGCAGTCCTCGGGGAGGGAGAGAGAACAGTCCTGCCAAGGCTGTGGGCAGGGCGGGGCCCGGGGCAGCCAGGACTCAGGCAGAGGACCACGGGGAGGGGGCATCTGGAGGGGACTCTGCTGAGGCCTGGCCACGAGGTCGATGGTGTGCAAGGGAGGGTTGGACCTGGGGGGAGGAGGCAGGCTGTCCTGGGAGGCACCGGGCTGTGTGTGTGTGGAGTGACCCAGTCCTGGGGCGACTTTATCCTTGGGAGCTCCTGGAGGAACAGGTGTGTGGGGTGAGAGCCCCGGCCTGTAACGGTCCTCAGGAGGTGGGAACCAGGCTGAGGCGGTGGGGGGAGGGCTGGGGGAGTGGGGGCCATTGCCAGACTCCCAAGTTGTCCCCAAGACGGCCTGGAGGAGGCAGGAAGGTGCTCGCACAGTGCCTGCCCCACCAGGGCGAGAGAGGCGGGCAGGTGGCCATCTGCACTAGCCGGCAGGGGACTCGAGGACCACGGACCCCCGCCCTCCCAGGGGCCTAAGTCTGCTAGACGTGCTGTGAGCCGAGCCGGCAGGGCCGGGCCCTGGCACGAATGGCATTCCAGTGCTCTTGGAGACACGGCTCCGGCTGGCGGACCCCTGCCCAGGCTTTCCCAGCAGCACCGGGACTTGGGCATTTGCTGCCTGGCCCAGGGTCACTTCCTCCCCTGGGACATCACTATGTCCTCACAGCAGCCTACCCAGAGTGGCCCGAGACTCTGGCAGGGTCCCTTCACCTCCGGGAGTGCAAGGCTGTCACGGGCTCTGGCCTAATTCCACTGCCACCAGCAACTGTGTCACCGTGGGCTGAAGGAATCGGTTTTGTCACTGCAAAATGGGGCCCAGCGCTTCACCTAACGGTCAGGGATGGAAGGGAACGCAGCCGAATGCCGCGCGTGTCCTGGCCTCTGTGAAGGGGCCACTGGGCCCGGAGTGGCTTCCCGGCTGCAGCAGGAGGGACGAGCCGGCCCAGGGCCCAGCTCGCCGAGTGCAGGCTGGTGCAGCAGAGCTCCTGCCCCGCGAGCCCGTCGCTGAGAGCTCGGCTCTGGCTCGGCCCTGGGCAGCCGTGTGACCTCTGGGAGGTTCCTCAGCCCCTCTGAGCCCATTTCCTGCACTGGAGACCTGGGCCAGGGCACTTGCTGCCTACCTCCCAGGACGGCGGGAGGAGCCGGCCAGCAGGGTGAGAGGTCTCTGCAAACCCTTTAGGAATTCCGAGGGAGGGATGGCCGGGGACGTGTCCTGGGGCCGTGGCACCTGGGCTTTCTTTAGCTGCTTGGTGGGAATGAAGGGTTAGCGCAGGAGCTGGCAAGCTACAGGGTCAAGTTCAGCCCGCAGCCTGTTTTTGTCATTAAAGTGTGATTGGCACACAGCCACACCCCTTCATTTGCATATTTTCTGTGGCCAAGTTGAGTAGTTGCGACAGAGAATGTGTGGTCCCCAAAGTGGAAAATATTTACTATATGCCCTTTACAGGAAAAGGTTGCAGATCCCTGCTTTGGACCCCTGCGTCCCCATCTCAATGATTCAGAAATGGGCACATGGCCTATGGCAGCCAATCGGGGCTCAGTTCTGGTGCCTCTGTCTCTGGCCCCAGTACTGTAACCATCTGAGCCTGACGGTGTTGGGCTGGGGTGGAGGCTGCCATCTGCAGCCTGAGAACGAAGCCAGCCCAGAGGAAGCCTGGCTCAGGGGAGGGTCCTAGTGACTGTTGGAGCCTGGATCCAGCCATGCCTGAAGTTAGATTCTGGGTTTTCCAGCTTCTGTGAGATGAAGAATTCCCTTTCTGTTTAAGTTGCCAGGGTCAGTGTAGTGGACATTGGTTAGCTTGCCTGGTTGTCCAGTACCTTCTGAATTCCCTTCTTTATTTTCCAGAAACTTGTTTTCTCAGCCTCCTCTATAGCCATGACCTGGTCAGGTGACCTAGGACCTGCCAGTCAGATGCACCTGTGGGACTGTGATTCAGAGGCGAGGCAGGGGGGCCTTGCACTTTGGTGGCAGAAGGCGAGAGGCACCCTTTTGGTGCTGGAGGCGGGAGCAGACGTCCCTGTGCCCGGTGGTGGCAAGAGGACGGGGTGCTCCTGGCAAAGCCTCTGTGCCTGACGCACCTGCCCCCAGAGATCGTGGCCACTTGCACGCTGTGGCAGCTTCCCTGCTGCTTAAGTGGCTGGGGGCAGGGGGCGGTTCTGGGGTGTCCCCCAAGAGCCCCGAGTTTTGCATGCACCTTCCGAGGGGGCACCACGCCCAGCGAGGGCCCCAGTGGGCGCCTCGACGCACTCGGCTCCGGTCCTCCTGAGTGGGGTTTCCATCCCGAGAATCGCAGGCCTGAGATTGCACAGCCCAGGGAGAGCTGGGCGGCCCTGGGGCCGACTGCTGCCAGACTTCTGGGTGGAGCTTATTCCAAGAGTCTATTTTAATTCAAGCAAGTTTAATAAAGGTTCCCAAAGAAGGGCCTTAAGCTGATAAATCTCGTTTAGGATTTTCTTATTACCCTTCCCCAGCCATAATGAGTTTTTAATTCAATTTTTTCAGGTTTTCAGGCCCAGGAAAAGCCTCTCCATGCCCCATGGGATGCCAAGGCGGGTATTTGGGAAAGGAGGAATTTTACGAGCATTGGAAGGGAATTTCTTGCCTCGACTGTAATGCAGAATCCAAATGTGCCCCCATCCCGGGAGGCAGGGCCGACTCATCTTTGTGTGTGGCCTTCAAGTACAATCCCAGCTCTGCGGCAGAAATCCGCATGGCTCCTGGGGCAGGGTTCCATTAGCATAAGGGAGGATCTGGTGACAATGGGAAGACCCCTCAGCCAGGCTGAGGACTGAGATGTCAGAGCCACCACACGCAAGACCCTCAAGGCACCTATGCCCTGCAGATGCCCTGACCCCGAGGGGGTGATTTGTCTCTGTCCTGAGGACTTGCAACCATCGCTGGTCCTAAGGAGGCTCAGGTATTGATGAGGGCGTCTAAGTGGGAGGGGAGCGCCCCTAGCCCCGTCCTCCCCCGAGCTGGAAACTCAGGGACCCCTCACTGTAATTAGCGGAGCTGGAGAGCTGGCACTGCAGGCCCGTGCCCAGCCAGGATGTCTCCCAGAGGATGTCCTCCATGTCTGAGGACAGCCGGGGGGGAGGGGGTGACCCTGGCCGGGCCAGCCTCCTCTGAGCCTACGTTTCCACCTCAGAGTGCCTTTGTGAGAGAAAATTAACGCACAAGAAAGTGCTCCTTGTAATGCCAGCTCATGAGAAAGGACCCAACCCTCTAGTTAAAAAACAACTTGAAACCCCCTTGCCCCAGCTTTTTGGTTCATAGGCCAGGTTTGTTCACGCCCTTTCCCAAAGGCGAGGTTTACGGTCCTGTCCCCGCAGAGCCGTCCGCAGTCTCTAGC